CTAAAGAAAATAAACGTTAAATTTGAAATTAACCGCCACTCTAGATTTATAAAATGTAGTTCCAAATCTCTTATAAAATATAAGTTAGAAATAATTAACACCAACCATTCACACTTTTCTTGGCTAACAAAAAAGTCTTATAAAAGCTAAGTCAATAAAAATCTAACTGTCACTCACCGAGAGCTGCTTGGGCTGCCTGCGCCGCTTGGGCCGCCTCGCCGGTGGTCAGCGACAGCTCAATGTAGCCAACGACGATGGAGAGAAGCGTCAGATCGGGCTCAATGGCGCTGGTGAGGGCGCGTCTAAAGAGATTGACCACATCCGAGGTGGACTTGAGGGGGAAGAGGCTGGCGTCGATGATGCCATTGAGGGCCATGCAGGGGCTGGCGCTGGCGCTGCGAGTGACCGTTGACATGGCTGCAAGGGATTGCTGCTGCTGCTGCTGCTCCACTCTTCTATTGCTGCACTCTTCTAATGCTGCTGCTGCTGCTGCTGCTCCTGCCGCTGCTTCTTACTGCTGCTATTGCTTAGCACTGGCCGCAGGCGCTGTTGCATGCACACTGGACTTGCATTTCCACTTGGTAGCAGTAGCAGTACAGCCAGACACTTTGTTGCTGCAACATTTGAGGGGAGCTGCTGCTGCTGCTGCTGCTGCTGCTGATGGTGCTGCTGGGTGTTGCAGAGGGAATGTTTGTGTGTGCAATGGACGCCACAAGTTGACAAACAACTTTTTTACTTTCCACCTTGTTTGTGCGCGCACTGTTTGCCCTTTTTTTTAGTGTTTTCTTTTTTCTCTGCTTTTGCTTTGTCGCGCTTCTATGTGCGTGTGTGAGTGTGAGCGAGAGCGTATCTGTGAGTGCACTTATTCTTAAGCAGGATTTTTTATGCAATTCGCTGCATTTTTTTTTTTGGTGACTGCAATTTGTGTTCTTCGTTCGCTTCTGATTGTTCTAGGGCGACTGTGCGTTCGTGTGTGTTTGTGTGTGAATGTGTGTATGCATACGTTGTGTCGTTCAATTGTACTGACACTTCGTTAATTTTGTCGTGCAGTTTGTTGCTCTTGTTGTTGTAGTGTGAGCAGTAGTTGTTACTGTTGTTGTTGTTGTTGTTAAATATCCTGTCGTCGTTTCGCTCTCGTTTGCACACGTCAGCAGCGACGGTGACGACGGTGCTGGCCGCAGCAACGCTTCTGGTTTAGCAGGTGCGTAGCGGCAGCGCCAGCGACCGCAGCGTCAGCAGCAGCTGAAATTGCGTAGCGTTGAATTATTGCGTAGCATCGAAAGCAGCGCGCCTCACCTCCCCCACCCACACACGTGCCGCGGAATTTACGCCGTTTCTTTCTATCGTATTATATGGGATATTGCGTATGTCTGCTTTCATTTATTTAACACGATTTGTATTAGTTTCTTTAATGGTTTTTATTTATTACTTTGTTGCCGAAAAAATACTGTGTTGCGTTGACTGTTTTTTGTTGTTGCCGCTGCTTTATTATTGTTGGCATTCCGCTTTGGCCAGTTCGACGCGGTTTGGCATTTTTAGCGCTATTTTATGCCAACAATATGCATTTAACAACACTGTAAAAGTGCTGCCACCAAGCCTGACCACCGTGACTCTGACCGTGACTGCGGCTGTGACTCTGCTATGAAATGTTTATAAAATTAAACGTTGCTCATTATTTTTGGAGCATAAAGATCTAGAATTTATGCACTCCACTTAAAATAATCGTCTTGCTAGTGATTGTGACTGCGCTCGTGTATAACAATTCGTCCATCTCTATTTACGATCATCGTTCACTTCGTGAGTAGTCACTGTATAAGTTATGCCATCACAATTGACCATCTTTAATTCGTATGCGTTTTGCGTGATATAAATAAATGCCGGCTTTCCTGAATTTTAACTGCAGCAAAACAATTGACTGCAAACAAGGAGCTGTGCGCGCAGTACGCTATAATGGTAAGCTTGTTTTATATATAGATATACATATGTACGTGTATTTAGCATTATTCCCGCTTTACAGTGGACGGCAGCTACTGTTTGAGCTGCGGCTCGGACAAAAAGATCAAATTGTGGAATCCTGTTTCGGGTTTGCTATTGAAGACCTATGGAGGCCATGCGGATGAGGTGACCGATGTGGCGGGCAGCTGTGATAGCAGCTACATTGTCTCATCAAGCCTGGATAAGAGTATCATCTACTGGGATGTGGCCACGGGTGAGCATCACAGAGCAGAGAGATGGAATGAAGATGAATATAACAATAGCTTTTCAGGCGCTCCCGTACGTCGACTCCGCAGTCACGCAGGCGGCGTACGCTGCGTGTGCTTCAACGAGGACTCGTCCATTGCCATATCTGGCGGACGCGATAATGCCATCATGTGCTGGGACATACGCACTCGCCGCCTTGACCCCGTTCAAGTGATGAAGGACGCAAAGGACTGCATAACAACTGTGCTGACTAATGACCACAAAATCTTTGCCTCCTCTTTGGATGGATGTGTGCGTCACTATGATATACGTGTGGGCGAGCTCACCTGCGACGAGGTGGGCCAACCAATTACCTATCTGGCGCAGACGAAGGATGAGCAGTGCCTGCTGGCTGGCTGCCAGGATAACACGTTGCGTCTGCTCGACTGCGAATCGGGCGGGCTGCTGTCGGAATACAAAGGCCATCAGTCTGCGGACTATCTCATCGAGTGCGGCATCCTAGCCGACGATGCGCATCTAGTCTCCGGCTCCAGCGACGGCGATGCCTACGTCTGGGATCTGCTCGAGGCGAAGGTCTTGCAACGCATTCGCATTAGTAAATCATAATTTAATTACAATTTAATTGTGCATTCTTTTTAACATGTTTTTCTGTTGCAGGTGACAATGGAGGCGTGGTTCATTCCCTGGCCACTCATCCCAAGCGACAGGAAATGCTTTTCGCTCGACGCAGGGATATGTATGTGTTCTCCACTGATCTGCAAATCGAGGAGGAGCAGCTGTAGCAAAGGAATTCCTAAATTCCTTTTTCATTTAGTTTTAGTGCACGCGTAAATAAGGCTAGTGAGATCTCTGTTAGATAGTATACAAATAGGAACCACCACTATATATATATATATATATGTCATGTTAGCTAAGTATAAGTATATATATACCTAATTCATGGTCTAGCTTATGATCTTTGAATCCGGCTTCATATTAGGACTGTGGATGGGTCAGTAATACAGAGTCCGAAGATAATATCTTACAAATATCGTATTCTTTCAAATCTAGGATAAGAGGCTATTCGGAATGACTCCGAAAAAATCTCCACCAAGCTGTAAGTCAAATAAATAAAAATTTACAAAATTAACTGTATATCTATATTATTTATGTGATTCCAATATATATATAGTATGCACATACACATTCCCATATCCTCCCAAAATAAAAATCACAGATGCATTTCTTCGAGGGGAAAAGGAAAAACCATTTATTTGACATAATTTTTTTTTCGTTTTTTTTTTGTTTGTTTTTTAATTATTTAATGTATTTTGTTTGTTGTTTATATAGAGCATGAATGTACGTAGTAATATGTTTGTATGTATGATCTGGCTTATATAATGCATAAACAATGTGTTTCTTGCTGTTGTTGTTGTTTAGCTGTAAATCTGTTAGCTGCGCTCTTCATTCAAAAACCAATGCCCGATGCATGTGCAAGCGTGTGTGTGTGCGTGGGCGCGTCGTGTGTATGTGTTTTCGTATTGTATGTGTATGGGTGGAGCGCCGCTCTCCATCATTCTCAAACTCTCTCTCCGTTGTGGGTGGTGGTGTTCGTGGTGTTGGTAGTAGGTGACCAAAGCCGTTGCTACGCTGCGCTGCTGCTGCGCGGCAGCTGCTGTCTTCGGCTTCACCTCAACACTTGGTGTCTTATGGGTGGCCAGACAAAAGCTGACTGCTCTGCCAGCGCGCAGCGTTCCAGCGGCTTAGCAGAGAGCTGCAGGCAGTCTACACTCTCTCCATTTTGCTCGTCTAAGCTCACGCACACACCGACACGCGCTCACACAAACATGGGGCATTCTGTTTTCTTTTTATTTTCTTCCTTGCTTCTCTGATGAGCCGCAGCTACATAGCGGCCTCTCTCTTATATATTCTTGAACTCTTCTACTCTGCTGCTTGCACTTATGTACTAAAGCATATTTATTTATTCGTTTTGTATTTGTATGCAATTTGTTGTACATACAGCTATATGCATATGCATGTATGTATGTGTGTGTATTTATGGATTTATTTATATATATGTATATATAATGGTTTATGTTTAATGTTATAGTATTTAGTAATAATATTATGTAATGTTGCGTTAGCTTATGTCGTATATAAAGTTTATATACATATATATGTATATGTATGTATATACTCATATATATATATTTAATTTTTATATGTATGTGTGTAGTTTATATAATAAACGATTCTCTCTCTCACGCGCGATCTCTCCTCTCTTATAATTAGATTATACAAACAACAAAAAACTCAATAAGATCCATTCCAAATATTTTCGATTCTCATATTCTTAATTTTTTTTTTTTTTTGGGCAAAAGGAAAATACAATAAGCTTGTTATATATTGATATATGTATGTATGTTTATGTAAATTAAAAATTAATTAAATAATAGAAAATAATTTAAAAAAGTAAAAATTAATGCGATGGTGTTTATAGAGTTCAGCATGCTCATTATATAGAATATATATATGTATATAGTATATATATATACATATATATACTTGTATTTTTATATAGCATGTTCCATATTTATATATAATTTTATGTATATATATATTTTTCCATTTTTTGCTTATTGAATAATTTTTTTTTTAATTTTTGCTTAATTTGCTGTATTTTTTAAGTGTTTGCATGTTTGTATGTATGTGTGTTTGTTGTAATAAACAAAAAATCATAAAATTGTTTATGTCTATTTTGTTTTTGTTTTGTTTTCATTTTTTTGTACTCTGTTTTGTTGTTACTGCCTGTTGTTTTTGTTGTTTCTCTCACATTTACTTAAACAATATAAATAAAAAAAAAATCTGTTTTTTTTTTTTTTTTAAATTACAGTGGCTATGTGAGTAGTTGTTTTTGCTTATGGAAAAATTAATAAAAAATTTACGCCTTGACTGCACAAAATTCTCTTAGCATTTTTTTTTTTTTTTTTTTTTTTTTTTTTTTTTTTTTTTGTTTTACTAATTTTATACAATTGCCTTTAATATTTATATTCTTTGTTTTTTTTTTTTTAGATTTTTTTTTAGTTTTATAGCAGCTTAAAGTTTGTTAAGCTACAGCTTAACCATAGCAACTGTGTCAACCGCTAGCTGTTATGTTAGCAACAGTCACTTAACAGCATAACTGTATGAGCTTAACAGCTAGTTTACAATTAGTAGCAGCTTAAATTGTTTACTATTAGCAGCATCTTAACAGCTATATACAACAGCAGCAGCAGTTT